ATATTATATAACACAATCATGTAGGCCTACGTTTGGATATAGTAATTAATGCATGGTATATAAACATTTATTTAATTCGTATTCCTTTGCTTGCTTTGCACAACACACATTAACATCAATGATGCATTATCTTCCTAATAATAATGTATTTTTACATGTAGCTAGCCGCTTTTACATGTAGCTATTTAACAATTATTCGCCGAAGGCGAGGTGATTATCGGTGAATAAAAACCGAGACGAAGTCGAGGTTTTTATTCACGATAATCACCGAGCCTGAGGTGAATAATTGTTTTAGTATAATTTCATAGGTGATTATTTGGAAAAAAATTTTAAAATGCACATTTCTTCGTCATTTAATTGACAAAACGGCTTCGACCGCCATTTTGAAAATCGCTTAGGTGATTATCGCGTAATAATCACCTCAACGGCAACCAATCAGCGTGGAGAATTTTCAATAATCACCTATGTAATTATACTAATGCTCATTATTACATGATTGAGTCGGTTTCTTTTGTTATTCAAGACCTTGTATCTAGCGTAATTTACTCGTCCATCTGAAAGCCCGGGGAGGGATTTGATTTTCAGCAGGGAAGAGCGGGGCTGATGCATGAATTTGAATTGCTCAATGCACACATGAGGAGGTATATATCTAGTTAAATACCTCATGAATAGCTTAATGAGGTATTTATCTAGATAAATACCTCATTAAACTATTCATGAGGTATTATATTTGTGGTGTTACTCTGAGTCTATATCCACACCGGGCGAGCTTGAAAAATATGCCAGGCCACGGTGGGATTCGAACCTACGACCTTTGGAATACTAGCCCAATGCTCTTCCAACTGAGCTACGCGGTCAGGACGGTTCGAGTAAGTGATATTTCGGAACAGAATCTAGTTCCTTCGATACCAATGTATTCTAGTAATATGAATTTTTTTTCTGTGTTGGTGTAGTGTACTCAGGTGAATATGATATTTGTGGTGTTACTCTGAGTGTATATCCACACCGGGCGAGCTTGAAAAATATGCCCGGCCACGGTGGGATTCGAACCTACGACCTTTGGAATACTAGCCCAATGCTCTTCCAACTGAGCTACGCGGTCAGGACAGTTCGAGTAAGTGATATTTCGGAACAGAATCTAGTTCCTTCGATACCAATGGGCTAGTATTCCAAAGGTCGTAGGTTCGAATCCCACCGTGGCCGGGCATATTTTTCAAGCTCGCCCGGTGTGGATATGCACTCAGAGTAACATCGCAAACATATTATTCACCTGAGTACACAACACCAACACAGAAAAAAATTCATGTTACAAGAACACATTGGTATTGAAGGAACTAGATACTGTTCCGAAATATCACTTACTCGAACCGTCCTGACCACGTAGCTCAGTTGGGAGAGCATTGGGCTAGTGTTCCAAAGGTCGTAGGTTCGAATCTCACCGTGGCCGGGCATATTTTTCAAGCTCGCCCGGTGTGGATATGCACTCAGAGTAACATCGCAAACATATTATTCACCTGGGTACACAACACCAACACAGAAAAAAAAAAAATATTACAAGAACACATTGGTATTGAAGGAACTAGATTCTGTTCCGAAATATCACTTACTCGAACCGTCCTGACCGCGTAGCTCAGTTGGAAGAGCATTGGGCTAGTATTCCAAAGGTCGTAGGTTCGAATCCCACCGTGGCCGGGCATATTTTTCAAGCTCGCCCGGTGTGGATATGCACTCAGAGTAACATCGCAAACATATTATTCACCTGAGTACACAACACCAACACAGAAAAAAATTCATATTACTAGAACACATTGGTATTGAAGGAACTAGATACTGTTCCGAAATATCACTTACTCGAACCGTCCTGACCGCGTAGCTCAGTTGGAAGAGCATTGGGCTAGTATTCCAAAGGTCGTAGGTTCGAATCCCACCGTGGCCGGGCATATTTTTCAAGCTCGCCCGGTGTGGATATGCACTCAGAGTAACATCACAAACATATTATTCACCTGAGTACACAACACCAACACAGAAAAAAATTCATGTTGTGTATATTTTTATTCCCTGCTGCCTACACAGTGCATGTATGTAAACTACAGTATAAAATTGGGGTGTTTATGTGAGTCTTGTATATAGTATTTTCGCAAGGAGGGTTTTGAAAATAGTGTTGGACCATGGTTGAGGCCTAGGAACATGTTTCTACTCACAGCATAAGCAATTCCCAGCTATCATGTAAAAGCATTTTTACAGTTTACATACAGTTGATAGTAACTTGACACTGTAAATATATGTAGCAAATTTTCACACGCAACATATTCATAAAAACGTTATTAAATGTTTTAATCCTTTATTGGTATCTTTTAACATAAAGAAAAAGAAAGTAAATTCTTCCACAGTATGAAAACTACAAAATCATTGGGCTAAATTGCAGAATACCCGTCCACTTTTGAAGGTATCCCTTGTTATCATGATACGATGATACGAAGTGAAAATGATTACGTAATAACTATATGACCGCGCTATAATAAAAGCCTGGGTAACCTATATTATTGCGTGATACGATGATACGATGATACGAAGTGAAATAGCACGTATACAGTATATGTGTTTGCCTCGTTCTTTGAAAGACATGTATATAGCTTACCCAGACTTTTATAATAGCGCAGTTATATAGTTATTACGTAATCATTTTTACTTCGTATCATCGTATCAGGCAAAAATATAGCTTACCCAGACTTTTATAATAGCGCAGTTATATAGTTATTACGTAATCATTTTCACTTCGTATCATCGTATCATCGTATCAGGCAAAAATATAGCTTACCCAGACTTTTATAATAGCGCAGTTATATAGTTATTACGTAATCATTTTCGCATCGTATCATCGTATCAGCCAAAAATATAGCTTACCCAGACTTTTATAGTAGCGCAAATATATAGTTATTACGTAATCATTTTCACTTCGTATCATCGTATCATCGTATCAGACAAAAATATAGCTTACCCAGACTTTTATAATAGCGCAGTTATATAGTTATTACGTAATCATTTTCACTTCGTATCATCGTATCATCGTATCAGGCAAAAATATAGCTTACCCAGACTTTTATAATAGCGCAGTTATATAGTTATTACGTAATCATTTTCACTTCGTATCATCGTATCATCGTATCAGGCAAAAATATAGCTTACCCAGACTTTTATAATAGCGCAGTTATATAGTTATTACGAAATCATTTTCACTTCGTATCATCGTATCATGGTATCAGGCAAAAATATAGCTTACCCAGACTTTTATAGTAGCGCAAATATATAGTTATTACGTAATCATTTTCACTTCGTATCATCGTATCATGATAACAGGTGAGGTCTTCAAAAGTGGACGGGTATTCTGCAATCGCTCCAATCATTGATATTCATTGTAGAGATAAAGCTTTCATGACTTGCTTAGTTAATACCTTTTGTCTGGTTTGTTCAAGCAGGGCGAATATGATTTCTTCTTCACCCTGTGTTTCTGGGTTTCTTGACTTTGGCTTATGGCGCGGAAATATAGATGCCATCGCGTCTGGTTTGAGCTTTGGCTTTTGTTGGAAGCAACGCACAAATTCTAGCGTTCTTGCGAAGTATATTCAGGCATAAATGCGCCGACGCCGAATAAACAGATGAATGTAATATCTAAATCGCGTAGGTTTTACTCTGCAAATAATTTCTCGCCAGCCACGCTCGTCGCAAACCTTTTTCTTTGGGATTCTGTTGTGGCTTATTCCCACAGTTTTCCGTGCCACTCTGGAACCAAGCAATGATCTTCCGTTGAAAATTATTTAAAAGAAATCTCTAAAGTTTAATAAAGAGTGAATAATATGCGAA